TGACAAGATTCTTAAGCCTGGGGAGTGGGTCTATGTTTGGCGTCGAGTGACCTCTGCCAACAGGCCCCATTCCTTGCAGCGTGACAGGTGGACCGGCCCTGGCGTCGTTGTCCACCAGACTGGAAGCACCCTTTGGGTTGCGCTGAGAACTCGTCTCCTTAAGTGTTCGAAGGAGCAAGCCAGGCCCGCCACCAGGCAAGAAGCTTTGGGGGCGGAGTTGCTGGACACCGAGAGGTTCGATGCTCTTCGCGAGCAAGTCGGGTCCTCGGGGAAGCGGATCGGTGCCGTCGACGTGGCCTCCGAGGGGCCCCCCCCCAGCAGCGTCACGATGCTCCCGGCGGCGGAGAGCCAGTCGTCCCATCCCCGGCCTCGAGAACCCTGGATGCCGGGCCCCCGGAGGGTCCCGTTCCCTCGGCTGCTCCAAGATTGGCTCGTCAGCTCTCGAGTCAGGCCGACGCTCTTACCCCCATGGTCGAGGGTTCCCTGGGTCGTCTGGTGAGTTCTGAGGCATCGGCCAGTCGCGCTCCTGCCGAGACAGCACCTGTCGCTGTCGGTCCAGTTTCAGTCGGCGCCTCGGCTTCTGGGCTCGAGCTCCCTCGCGAAGCTGAGGTCTGGAGGCTGGAGCAGTCTGCCGAGAGGCGAGTGGCGCCCAGGCTGACGCCAGCCGAGGATCTAGGCGAAGGGCCTCGCGTTGCCAGGATGATCCTCGAGCGGGAAGCCTCCGCTGGAGACACTCCGAGCGAACCTTCTGCCGCTCCGGCCCTCTCGGGCCCTCCCGTTCGTTCTAGGCCCCTGGGGGCCAGGAGCCTGTCCGCTCCTCGGGCGACTCGAGTTTCCGGCTCGGCGACCGGGTCGGTTCCCCGGGTGCTCGAGGGCCCTCGTGGGGCCCCGCCTTTTTCCCCTGGCCTAGCGCTCGCGTCCCGGGAGCCCGCCTCGGAAGGCCCCTGGCCTACTTGGAGGAGTTCGAGGACGACTGGCAAGACGAGGCCCTTCTTCAGGAGCTTGCGGAGTGGTTCGCTGCGCCTGGTGCCGTGGATTTCTTTTCCTTTGTCGATCTTGCCTCTGAAGGTTTTTCTGGACTGGCTCACGCTGGAGCCCCGTCCAAGCCTCGAGGGGCGGAGGTCGTGTGGAAGCACCTGTCGGATGTGGAACGCCAGCAGTTTCTCGAGTCAGATCGATCCGAGTGGGAAGCGATGCCCAGCTCTCAGGTTTTGAGCTCAGAGGAGTCCAGGTTGGCTAGGAGGCGCTTCCCTGACCGGATTCTCTCTTCCAGGATGGTGCGACGGCTGAAGCCCCAGGAGGGCGTCGGGGCGGCGCCTAAGGCCAAGAGCCGATGGTGCGTACATGGACATCAGGACCCAGACGGGGAGTGCTTGTCCGTGTACGCGCCCACGCCCCAGTCCGAAAGCAGAATGGCAGCGCTTCAGATAATCGCGTCCATGAGATGGAAGCTCCAGGTGGCAGACGCGAAGAACGCGTTCTGTCAGAGTGACCGCCTCCGTAGGCTTCGGGGGGCCATCTACGTGGAGCCCTGTCACGGGCTTACCTTGGGTTCTGATCAACTTATCGAGCTGGTGGCCCTGGTCTACGGCCTTAACGACGCCCCTCTGTTGCGGCGCCGGACCCTGACTGACTGGCTGTCAACTCAGGGTTTCACGAAGTCTTTGCTGGAGCCGTGCCTGTGGCTTAAGCGTGGCGAGCACGGGCGCTTAGAGGTTTTGGTTTTAATTGAGGTCGACGACCTCATCATCGCCGGCGACGACCGGATCATGGATCTTCTGCGTCAGGCGATGTGCCGGCGTTTTCAGTTCGGAAAGTGGAAGTTGGGTGAGTCTGAGTATGCAGGTCGTCGAGTGGTCCAGCACGGGGACCGCATTACGGTTGAATGGGAAAAATACAGTAGGGAACAACTTAGTGTCATGCAGCTCTCTAGAGAGAGAAGGTCGACCCCCGACTCTCCCCTCACCCCCGACGAGATATTTCGGCGTACCGCACTGTCGCGGCACAGGTGCAATGGCTGGCTCGTGAGAGCCGCCCGGATGTTGCTGGGAGTGCGTCTCTCCTGGCCGCCGCTTTGCCTGCCCCGTCTGTGTCAGACGCCCTGACGCTTGCCAAGGTGTGTAAGTACCTAAAGGGATCGTGCGAGCAGAAGTTAACCATTTGGTCACTAGACCCCTACTCTCTCATTTTCGTCACTGCGAGTGACTCGGGTGGGCCCGGGGCCGCGCGTCGGGGAGGAGCCCAGGGCGCCTGGATCGCGATGGCGGCTGACGCCGGCATCAGGGAAAATCGTCGCTCGAAGGTTAGCACCCTGTCGTGGCGCTCTCAGCGCATCAAGCGGGCTGTCGCCAGCACCGTGAACGCCGAGACCCTTGCTCTGTCGTCGGCTACGGGCGAGGCCCAGTGGCTTCAGACTCTCTTTCGAGACGCGGTCTTCAATGATGTGTCCCGCCCCGATTGGTTTGATGGGCAGGCCCCTTTTACTGTCGTCATGTCTAAG